ATATATATATATATATATATATATATATATATATATATATATATATATATATATATATATATATATATATATATATTTGTAATCCAGGCATGTTATGATTTGTGAAAGTTCTCCGGAATGAGTTTTATTGAGCTTTCGACTCGGTACTTCGAGCTTTCAGGCTTTCCGAAAGGCGCAACATCCCGCATGCATGGATCAGTAGTACGCAATCCTGCACGGAAAACCATTCGGTATTCCTTTAATAATAAAGACCTGAGGATTGATGACATTGTTCCATACTTTTACTGAGGCAAGCCTTAATTAAGTGTGTAAGTTACTGCCTATTCTGCATTTTCGTTTGTTTCTAGTGGCTATGGTACATGCGGTATTATTATAGAGCGTTAAATAGACAAATCCTGTACAAACTAACCTCTGCATGTACAAATACTGAAAATGCAGAATGGCCACTAACTCAAATCTAGTCAACCTTACGCTAAATACTTCGACAGACTTTGATTTTATAGCCAGCGACTGAGGCAAGCTGCAAACGACCTACCATATTCTCTGATTTTTGGATTTACAGCATCGCGTAATATAATTTACTGTTTACTGTAGAAGCCATATTCAATGTGATATGCAAATTGCGACGGAAGTACTGTAAATCATGTCCGCGAGCAACACCTCGTATTTGGGCACAATTGTCAACGAGCTCCGAAGATTTGACAGTTGAACCAATGGAGTTGTTGTGTTAGCTAGAAACTTAGTTCAGCCGAACGTCAACGTACACGAAGTCGTACTTAGTAAGATCATTTTTAGGAATATACAGTGGCTTTATGAAACCGATTTTGACTTGAAAATCACAAACTTTTATATAAAAACTCTGTTGATAACTCCATTAAAAACTCTGTTGATTCATGCAATATCATTACAAACCACGTAAGGAATATATAGTGTAAGTTTTAATTTTATATCGTTTTGGTCTTTTATAAAAGACTATTAAAATAGTCCAAGAACATTAAACTGAATTGATAAATTAATGCAGATATGAAAGGTACTATAGTTAAAACATGAGGAGCCGATCTTTATCTGATATACAAACTTGAGCCGAAGGCGAGAGTTTGTATATCAGATAAAGATCGGATGCGACGTGGTTTAAAAACGACCCAGCTTATGAGTTCATTGGCAAAGTAATCAGTTCCTAGACGCGATAATTGGGGAGGGGGGGGTGTATGTTCATATATTTATGTTCACGTACCGTAAAAACAATCGCTTTCAAAAGAAATCCGTTGGGCAGAACACGAATATATGAATATACCCCTCCCCCCAATTATCGCGCTAGGAACGGACCTGAAAGTAATTTTCAAAATAAACATTGTATAAGCCGAGAAAATCAAAGCTGAAGTTTATGTAAATCGGCCATCAGGACAATTCTTTATCCGATTTACACACATTGATTAAACATTAATTTCTTTTGAATTTTCGTCATGAATTATGAACGAGTTTTTTAATGTCAGTTTACGATACTATAAAATATGCACTTCTGAGGCCTGTTGTTTAAGGCAAAGTACATTTATTATGCCGAGGGAGGGGGACGAAGATGTTAAGGGGGGGCACCGAAATATTTTCTGGCATTAAAGGGGGGCTCTGAAAGTTCTTGATATACTAAGGGGGGGGGGGCTCTAAACTTTTCAAAGTTTTGACCCCAGCAAATTCAAGTTAGAGTTTGACATTTTCACGTAAAATTTGCATAATAAAGTAATTATTTTTGTGAAATGATAACCATTTTTAGTGTCAAGTTTCTTCGAAACTTGACAAGTATTGTGATGAGTGGGGGAAAATTCATATGAGTCAGGGATCAGGCATAATAGTGTAAACTTTCCGGGGGGTATATGCGATTTATGTTTGAAGTGATTTATTGTATTTAGTCAGTGCTTTGAAGGTTATTTAGGCAATTTTAGTTGTCTTATTTAAATATTCTTTTGTCCTTTTGCCATGTTCACGAAAGTTTTGAGGGGCGGTTGTCGTTATTGTAATTTTTTGTAAATTTTATAACATTCGCTTCTCATGTTGTGTAAAAGATCTTTACCCCGGAACACTCGATTTTTTCTTTAGGAGCGCAAATGCGCATGCGCTATCAAACCGTAGATTACGATGACGTGCGATGCTAGGAAGGAGCGACACAGTGTTGTTTTCAAATGTATACACATTTCAGATGTGAATTTTGAGTAAATCTTTGAGAGTCTACGCAACATATAAATTGATGTTATTCATTACGGGCATTCAGTCAAGTACCGATATTACGTAGACGGTATACTCATTATACAGAGCTAAGAATTAAGGAGCTAGATAGTGCTTTTTCCAAATGTATATAAAACATTTCAGACCTAATTATAAATATTGAGAAATCTTCGAAGTGCCGATATTATTTTGACGGTATATTCATTATACGGAGCTAGGAAGGAGCGAGTCGACAGCGTTGTTTTCAAATACATAAACATTTCAGACCGATGAATATTGATAAAATCTTTGAGATGCTACGTAATATATAAATTGATGTTGTGCATTACCGGGCATTCAATTAAGTGCCGATATTATTTAGTCGTATATTCATTATACATCGACTGTAAAGGTGTAACACTGCTACACCACAGAATAGGTCACTCAGTACGAAGAGCAAAAAATTGCATCAGATCAGTAGAGCATAAATAACTATCAAACAGAAGTAGTGTTTGTATATCATTGTATGGCTTCAGTATGGCATTTGCTATCCAACGTGTACAGTCACGGGCCTTGTTCACACGTCTGGCACAACGGTGCAAACTGGTGTTCAATGGCACAATGCAATATTCAAATGCAACGAGAACTCCACCAGATCTTACCAGAATCTATCTGTATCAAAGCTTTATCAAAACTGCTATAGACTTTGCTGTAACTGTGAAATTATTGACATCTAAAGTGACATTATTGAATACTTGCGAAAAGCTGAAAATGACTCATAAAAAAAACAACCTGGTCTTGGCCTTGGGAATATAAAGTCAAAGGTCATTGAGACTTGTTATTGAGAAACATGTCACAATTAAGTTAAAATGCGGAAGCGGATGCGGAACCTAGCGGATCCATGGAGCGGATGCGGAACGGATATGGGGATAAAATGCGTCATTTAAATGAGTTTTTTCGCCTCATTTTTATGTGTCTGTGTTTTGGATTTATGTTTTTTGTAATGGGATGCAACGTCATATTAACTACAGTGTCCCCCCAAAAAGTACCTTATAACAATAGGATAGACACTTTCTATAGAGGGTACTTTTTTGGGGCACACTGTAGTTATACAGCTATTTCAATTAAAGAGTGTCACTGAGACAATAGTTAAATGTACAATATGGGCGCTGATAGTTTTAAATAAGTTTATGCAATGCAATTGTAGTTTTAGAATATACAAAATTTGGTTGTTGGTGAAAGAATTTAAATTTCGAGTTGTCTCGTGTAGCATCACAATAAATAAATAAATTGTACCAGTTCCACGAGGCACGGCGAAGGAAGTGACAATGAATTGTTTCTCTCGTAAAAACCTTGTTCTAATCCACATTTTTGAGTAACGTGCAGGGTTGGTATGTTAGATGAAGAATTAGGCCAAATCGTATTAGTGCCTTTATTGAAAACAAATAAAACAAAAGGCTAAGACAAAAAAACAAAGGCCTAATGTGACGTTGTTTGGCCTAATTGTTCAGCAAACCTATTAACCCGCTAGACCCTACGCAGTTCTTCCCGATCTTATTCAATTTGAAACTTTACACTATCCTTGGATCCCTAGTTGTAAAATACAGTCAATTTACATGCAATTTGTTTGCGAAATTTGCTTTAGAAAACGCCAGAAATTCAGTCCTAGAGCTTCAAAAATGTAAAAATTTTCTGGGGGAGGACCCCCAGACCCCCCTTTCCTCCCAAAACTTAGTGTGAGAGTGCCAATCGATCACAAAAGGCTTTATTATAATTATTACACGTATAATCCTCCGACATCCCTATTTGCCACATCCCTGATGGTTGTATTTGAAACCGATTTCAGTTTTAAGATATCCTTAGTCTGCTCTTCTAAATGGATACATGAAATCACCTATAGCTTATTTTAAATTTTTTGGTGCCAGGTTTGTGAAGTAATTTACCCGCCAAAAAGTAAAGACAAAAAACAAAAAAGCATGCGATTTGTAAGAATGATATGTTCTATGTTTATGGGATATTTAGTACAAACGGGATGAAAATTAAAGCAATTGAAGCATACTGGCACTTTTGCATGCATTTTTGACAGGCATGCAAAGACATTTGCAACAGATGCCGGGAGATACGTTGGGTGGGGGCGACATTCTGTAAGGTTCCAACACATTACCCTGATCCAGGAAATCCTGGCCACTACATGAACGTGTTCAAGACTCTGACTACGCTGAATGATGGACAACAACAACCTGTTGATAATTTCGCCCCTATAGAGCCAATTTAAAATTATTTCTTTTAAAGACGGCGCCAATTCGTCTGGCGCTAGTGAGGTGAAAGAAGCAGCAGATCGGTAGTTTTGTTAAGGAGAAGCACATGCTTGAGTATATCAGACATCTTGAGGAACTGCAAATTGTATTGAGAGAATTCCGGATTGTACTCCTTCGATTCCGAATTCTAGGGGGGGGGGGGTTCATTGAAAATTTTAAAAACTTGGAGGGGGGGCATCGAAACTTACCAATAACCGGGCCCTGTAAAAATATGAGCTTTTTTCAAGACATCTTCATCCCCCTCCCTCGGTGTAATAAATGTACTTTCCCTAAACTCGATAGCACTGTTAACCATATAAATTCTGCTCTGTAAACTTACGATGAAGTGGGGAAATGTATACAAGAGTTGTTTATTTGGTGATTTCAACATCGAAGCCCTCTTTCCAATAATATTCGCTTATCGCACAGAGTATCAACATAGTGCAGACGTGTACTCTGTGCTCCGCTAATTTTATACTATTATATATCTACCTTAATTTACTAAGCATGGCAGTAAGTCTGTGTACAAATATAAAAGTCATAGGAGAACAGCTTCATTGGGGCGGTACATTAAACGATTTAAAAGAATTCGTGTCAAATGAATTGAAACTTTCTGGCGGATGGACGTCGCCTGATGGTGAAGTCAAGCTGTTCACTAGTGATACAGCCAATGTGAGTTTGAAATGGCATGGTAAAACCACGAAATCGATTACCCTGTTTGGAGATTCAATAGAAACAAACAATCTAAGTAAGTTACTATCGACTATATATGTGTAAAGAAAAGCCCGAGAATCTGGTTAACGATGCTGTTAAATGGCAAGGCTTCGATGATTTCAAACAGCAAATGTTGGAATTCACTGCAAACACGAACACGACAATGGAAAGCCTTAGAACTGAGGTGAATCAATTAAAATTTAAAGTTGATCCGTTGCTTACTTCAGAGAACGTCGTTGATGAGCTAAGGAACGACAAACTTAGTCTCATGAAAGAAAACTCTGAGTTGTGCGAGAAAATGTTGAACCTTAGTTCTTGAACCTGAACGAGACAGTTTAATAACAGCACTTAAATTACAGCAACAGGATATCGAACAAAATCGAACCACCACTCAAAAGCGCCTTGCAGAATGGAAAACAACGTCGGCTCCGAAGAACAAAGACAATCAAGCATCTGCTACATTGAACTTGCACAAAAGTTTTGACACCTTAGACGATGAGTTGGACGAAGGAAATGGGGAACAACATCCAAGTATAATTAACCTTGACATTAGTCAACAATCCGATCCTGATCATCAACCAACCGAAGACAATAACACCTCAACTGGGAGTAATAACGGCGGAACCCTAACTGGACACATAACAGATCGTAGGAACCAAAACAAAGAAAAATCACAGGAAGCAAAACAAAACATAGTCATCATTGGTTATTCCATTGTAAAACACATTTTTCCAACAAATTTGTCTGAGAAAAAGGTGCAAAAATTTACTTATCTTGGTAAAACGGCCTCAGAAATAAACAATAAACTCAATACAATCGAATCAAACCTAACGCCTTGCCACGTTGTAGTGCATGCGGGAACAAACAATATCCCTTCGCAATCCGTGGACGAATGTATAAACGACATTGAAGAACTTATTGTTGGAGTGAAGGAGAAATTTCCTAATTCAAAAATTGGTATATCTGGTATTACAACAAGACAAGACATCGACTCGACATCAAAGGTTAATGAGGTCAACGAGAAGATCAAGGCCATCTCACTGAAGCATAGTGTTAAATTTATTGACAACTCATCTTTGGACGAAACCTCTCTAAACTCCAGTAAGCTCACTTGAAATAGCAACCCATTTCATCAACTTCATTAGAGGGGGAAAACCATCAAGCCAACTGCGTAAACGCCCCAGACGGGATTTTCAAACGGTAACCATAAACCAGCTGGAGGAACTGTTGAAGCTAATTTCTCGCTTGGATCGCCATCCAACAATTTAAACTCATCAGGAATGACTCATTTTAACAATAAAGAAAATGCCGGGCGGGAGACTGAACCTGTGCTGCCGGATATAAGCCGTAAGTGTTTTGATATTAATTATAAACCGTTTGGTAAAGGTTTAGTGATGGCCTCTCTAAATATTAATAGTCTTTTAGCACATATTGATGAATTTCGAGTTTTTATGAATGAATCTGATATTGATATTATTTCAATCAATGAAACAAAACTTGATTCTTCAATTAAGGATAATGAGGTTTATATACCTGGTTACGATAGAAAAATAAACGGATGACATGGGGGTGGTGTTTGTATCTATATAAGATGCAATCTTAACTATAAAATTTGTAAAGATTTAAGAGCAGCTCCGCGTAAATATCAACCGAAGTCGTGCAATATAAAAAAATCGAAATTTCTGAAATTTTGTCAGAATAATCATTATGGGTCGCTTATTAACGGAAAATAATTTTAAGATCGATTGAACGAATATTGGGGCGGGGGGAACTCGTCATTGCTGAGAGGCTCTGAGACCAAGGAAATAGGTCGGAAAATAGGGCTGCGCCTCAGCGCAATTTGAGGGGAAAACACAGCGTTGTTGGCCAAATAAAATACATCACGCTAAAGGCAGGTAAATACTTCCGCTCTCTGCGGATTTGCAAGGCAATCAAAATAAAGTAGAATTTTTGACAGATTTTTGAAATTTAATCTTCCTGTCGGACATTTCCTGACACCCAATTTAAGTAATTTTTGAGCGCGATAAATCCAGCATGATACATGTTTTTTTGGAAACTTGTTATATTTTTCGAGTAGAGTAACTCATATCCTCTAGAATGATGCCATAAGCTTTTTGGGAACTCTAAATTTGCGCAGTTGAGAACGGGTTGAAGTACAACCACTTGAGCGCTGAATTGACCTTTGACACACAGCCGCCGAGAGCGGTAAACACACAATATGTAGCTAAAAGATTATTTTCTCCGTAGAAATAATGGACAAAACGACAACCAGAGTTTAAATCATTCATAAACAATGTAGTGTGGTCAATAGTAGTATCAACATTTGAAGAAAATGTATATTATATGAGTTCTTACCTAGCTATGAGGCCTGAGACTTTATAACAAATGATCAATTACTGCGAGACAGTTCAACATTCTTCAGAATATTTTGGTTATTTCCTTGCCTACATCGTTCCATACACTCAGTCACATGTTAGGTTGTTGTAGAATTACCAATCGACCACTGTCTTGCCGTTAATAGGAATTAAGAAGAGAATTGTGGCGCGATTTGTGAAACACAGTGTTTGGCAAAATAGTGTATTAAACAACAAGGACATGATTACTTGCACAGCACAGTTACCCGAACTGGTCGACCCTTTGTGGGCTGCGCACCAAAGCGGATTAGGTCCGTTTACCCCTTCAACCCTATCGTAGCGGAACGTATCGCAGTGTGTCTACCTTCAGTCTGATTGTGAACATTTGCACAAAAATAAACTAGCACATTCAACTGGTTGATATTAGTACAAAGAAATGTTCTTATAAAATGGCTTAGTAAAACGATCTAATTTTGACAACTACACTGTTGGATTGCTTCTGACAACAAGGCTATGTACGGCGCCTTACGGCGTGTGGTTATGTTGCCAGTGTCTATGTCCATGCTTGTACAAATGTCCTGAAGAAGCTTGATGCTTAGCTTGCTGAGTTTGTTGTCGCAGGACATTTCGCACAGGTTGTACTGGTGATAGGTCACTGGATGCTGTATGCCGAGATCCTGGACCAAGAGATTCCTTGTCGTACTGTAGTTCGTCTCCTCCTCAGCTGCTGCCTCGTCATCACTATCTGGCTCGTAACCATGTCGCAATTTGGCAGCTCGTCTGGAGAAATAGCCCCGGATCTGGGTTTCAGTTAGAAACTCTTCCGCTTCAAACATCCTTGTTCCGTCTTTCTTCTTAGCATAGCGCATTTCTTTGGCAACAGCAGCGGCATCTAGTTTGTGGCCGGTCTCCTGACCGATTGCGAATTTGCCGTCCAAGTAGGATCGTTGAAATTCGTTGAAACGCTTCGATGTTCTCGCGCTCTTTAGTGCCCAGCCTTTAGTCAAAGGATCCTTTGATTGTTGTCGTTCCTTGTTCTCCTCCACCGGTGTTGTGCTGCTGGTGCCTTCAATGAGCTTGTGGTGATAGAGCTTTTTTGCCCGGTCCATGAGAGTGGAATTCTCTTCTCTGAGGTCACAGGTGCCAAATTGCAAGTGATTCTCTAAGGCAGCGTTAGTCTGGTAGACCTTCACGCATCCTTCGTTGCTGCACTGGAACAGGCCATCCACCATATGCTCTTCGTGTTGTGAAGGGCCACTGGATACGGTCTCCTTGCGATGCTTCTTGGCTGAACTACGCACAAAACCACCAGGTGTAAATGGAGCGTCAAATGTATCCTGGAGTGGCTGAGCTATAATGGCAAAACAAACAAAACACACAAAGTTAACAGACATGCAATACTGGGATATTATTCAAACAAAACGGCCCTCCCAAAAGTTTCATTGATGTACTTGAAACATTTTTTGTCAGTGTATTAACTGAACATTGGTAAATGTTGCAAGGATAAAACTGAGACATTTTGGAATAGTTTGTTTGAGAAGCCGGTCGCTAGTAACTTCTAATTTTGTAGCACATACTAACCCCATGTGTCGCGTTGTTGCATTACCCTGCCGATTCCTACACCATAGGCTTCCCACACGGTAATTTTTCCGTCGGTGTACTCAAAATTGTTCTGGCGGCTGATGCCATCCCATTCTACATGTGGGTCACAAAGACCTGCTGCATCAACCATGGCAACCCTGACGCCCGGTACACCTCCCGATGACATTATGGCATCCCTAAACTGCCGCGCTGTGGTCACGTCGTTACCTTCGTTGATAAACCGTCGAACGTGAGCTTTGATGGTGGCGGCTTTACGATCACATGGACCTTTTCCACCTTGTGGTTCGCTGAAATCCACTCGTGAGACGTTGATACCAGTTTTGCACTCCATGTGAAGGTATGCTGTCAGTGTGGACCCGCTATGGTAGCACCCCGCGTTGTCCTGTCGCAGGTATGCATTTGTAATCATGGCGCTGTCTTCGTGGAGTGCGCGCAACACATGCTCAGTGATCCTGACCACAACGGAAGCATCTTGACTGCAGTTCTCCACTATGTGCACAAAGGTTTGTGTCTCCATAACATTCTCGACCTTTCTCGCAACTACGCTGACGTGCCAGGAGATCCCTCGTTTTGCAAACCAGTCCGACTGTGATTCCCTGTACTTCTGAGGTAGAAACTTCATTGCCCAGTCGTTTGTTATAAGCACAGATGATTGATCAAGCCGCCTCAGAACGTCTAGTCGAGACTCATCTTGTGTGATGCTTCGAAGTTGGTGCCCTTTCCATGACTTGGCATCTTGTGTCGCTTTCTGGCAGGTGTACCGGAGATCCACTAGTTCATCCTCTGCAATGGCAATGGCATCGTTATTGAAGACATCTCCAATATCGGCCAGCACATTGTCGAGGGCTTCACACTGTGGACACGCGTCATCGTGTGTATGGTCGCAAGTGCTACTGAAACATTTGTCTTTTGCTTCACTCAGCGCAAATGTGCTGCAGTGATCAGCTACAGTGCTCGATCTCGACACATGAACCTACAAATTGAGGTTATAGTTATTAGTTTTGCTATATTAATTATAAGACAATTACAAATTAAGATGGATTACCACTGTTCTAGTGCACTTTACCTTGTAGTCGGACTTCAAATAGTGTTTACCCGATTTCAGTAAACTTTGCCATTCGTCTTTGGACTCCCTGGAGATTGATCCACACTCGTGAAGGCGCGTCACAGCAGCACACAGGTCATCAAAGGCTTTGCTTCCGTTGGCAGCGATGTAGTCAAGTCCCTGTAAAGACTTGCGCACAGTTGCAGAACATTCGGATAGGATGTTCAATATGGTGGTTCGGCCAAATGGAGTGAACGCTGTCTCCTCACAATAATGCTGGTATTGCTGAACAATACGCTCAGGGATCATACTTCTGATGACGTTTGGCGTTTCAAGGATCTCTCCAGTGGAAAGTTTCAGGTACTTCTGTCCAAAGGGCAGGTCTTGTACGATATGTCCGCTGGTGATGAATGTGAGGAAGTGGTCTAGCTGGCTGTTATCCACTTTCATTCGTGCTCTTTTGGTAGGTGGTCGGGGAACGCCTCTACCGAACGTCAGCCTGTGACTTCGTGCAATCTTGACGCGGTATTCAGTGACATTGGGCAAATACTGCTGTAGGCATGCGAAGGGTACAATGTCGGCCATCACAGAAAGAATTTGTCTTCGCGTGTCCCATCCAGAGGCATTTCTGTATGTTTCTGCGAGTGCTAGTAGATACTTTTCCTCTGCGGGAGATGTTTTTTGTATCCCCAGAGCCTCCTCCACAAGTGCCGATGACTGCAGCGCTTCCCAGAGAAGTGCCCCATCACCTGGTGTCACCACATCTAACATCGCCACTATTGCATCCCGCGCCTTCTCGACATGGTTCCTCCTCGTTCGCGCGCTGGTCTCCGCCCACGTTTTCTTGCATGGACCAATCCTTGATGTCACACCACAGTTTTCTAGAAAACAGTTTAGCTGCGTTCTTCTAGATGTCAGGGTTTCTTCTACCGTTTCGTCGCTTGATGTTGTACTGCTGCTTGTCGGCTCTTCTGGAACAAACATACTGGCACTGTGATCTAGATCTCTTTCCTCAATGGATAAGTTGAGAAATGAATCACACAAATCTAATACATCCTGCGGACATTCCTGTATTGAAGAAAAAAGGCTAATATTATTGATTAGCGGTCATTCATGCATGGCACTAGTGCGTGAATACCACTCTGCCTATTCCATGAAGTGTCGTCCCACAAAGTGTTCGGTGCATCTAGTGGCGTTTAGTAGGTCATATTCGTATAGTACCTGTTGCTCGTGGATGTCTTCGCATTCTGACGTTAACGGGCGATCTTGACTCTCTTGGACGTCACCTTCATACGCGACAGGTGTTTCGACTCCCACGGACTGCTCTGCTCTTTTGCTCTCAGCTGTCAGGCGTTTGCGACATCTTGTACAAATACCTTTGCAAAACGAAGAAAATGTTAACTAGAAAAAAACTCATGACATATTTTTTTCGATTCCGATTGCATGTCCTTGCTTACCAGATCCTACTGGAACAAGCACATGAGTAAGGTTCAGTAGCTTCTCTGATTGTTCCTTCGTTATTGGCCGTTCTGCTTTAGCACTTCCGTGTACTGCCCAGCTTGCGGGACAGACACAATTTCTGCGGTTGCACCGCCAGCGAATTCCATGGCTATCGCGATGCCGAGGACAAATAGTAATGTTGCCGTGATTTTCATCAGGACCAAAGAGACCTACATGTATACAAGGACATGTGACATATGCATTGTGGTTGCTCTCCACTGCTTGAGCAATTTGAAGTAAAGCAGGTTTTAAGTAGCCGTTTGCAGTAACGCCACGCATTTTCAAATACTCGTTATACTCCTTTAGTTTGGCAACAGTCATGTCCGAAACACGCTTATTCTCCTCACCATTTTTCTCTTCGCTACATATTACACTTACAGGAGATAGATAGATAGATGGTTTATTTGCAAAGCATTGCAGCCAAAAGCTGAATTACGCTAAGAATTACATATAGTTTAAAATTAGAATAACTATTAAAAATTTTAAAAGTTTGGAGCCAAATGGCAATGTGCGTATAAGTTGACTATAATTGTCTACTACTATAACTAGGTGCGCATTTTCAGTGCATTGTGAGTTATAAAACTATTCCTAAATCGGTCTGTTTTAAAGTTAGTTAAAATATTACCACGAGTTAAAATATACCCACAAATACAAAAAAAACCCTTCCAAATCGTCCTTATTTTGCGATATTTTCGCTTGTTTATATCGCACACGTGTATACACTTTGAATAGCGGAGTGCGAAAGTTGTCCGAAAAAATGCAAATTTGGTCACGTGACAGCAGCATATTTTTCATCGCAGTAAACGTGGATTGACAAGCATTGTATATGAAAATACAGTCCAGTATATTCTGTAATTCTGTTGATAGCCAACACATGGTAGGGTATAATCGAAACATACCTGCACGTGCGAGTAATAGACTGGCCTCAGAAGTGATTGATGGGTCTCCAACTTTCAAGAACCTCAAATAATCCCGTATATCCTTACTACAGTCAGCAATTCTGAGACATTGCCTTGTATGTGGGCTCTGCTGACTCCCGCCGCAAGGCCCGCCAACGTACCTGGCGTAGCCACATTCCATGGCGTTCACGTGCGTGCACTCAAACGCTGATATGGAGCTTAAAAATCTCCGCTTCAATAAACTGTACAAACGAAACTTGATTGTGTGACCCTATATAGACTTTCTAACGTCCTTTCCAGACCCTTTTATGGTGCGCTTCACTTCCTCTGTGGAAAGGACTTTTGTCACTTGCAGCGCGCCAAATATCACCGGTGGAAAAATCCACCGGTGACGTCATTGTTTACATTGAAGGCCGAAGCGGTTTACATTATTGGTCATTATCGAAGGAGTCTAAAAATAATATTATATTCTCAGGCTTTTTTGTTGAACAAATATTTATTATTGAAGCAAACAGAGTAAACAATGTAAATACTATTCTTGTCGACACAATTACGGCACACATTGTTAGACAAACAACTGTCCAGAATCAATAAGTTTTTACATGCACTTGTTTTTGTTGATACATTAACTTTCGGCGCTTACTTGGGTCAGTTATTTCGTTTCCACAATCGGTGATAACTGTTTCATTCGGGGACAAAGAAATATCAATTCTTGAGAAAGATTTTGTGTTTTTTGTAGACCCATTGTCGGCGCGCGGTGAAGTAATTGTATGAAATGTACACACCCTTTTTAATATGTCAAAATTATTCGCGCCAAAATTTTTAATGCGATTTAAATTCCTGCAAGCGGGGGTCGCGCGATCCCTCCCCCGCGCCCTCCTTCCCCAGCGCCCTCCCTCCCACATGGTCGACTCGTGGCAAGTACTCTACACCACCCTATCAGTATGCTGAATGAATTTCGAGTGACTTTCGATTAAAGTTACTAGCAGTGTGGTCGAATATTAATTGATGCAACGTGTTGACATTTCCTGTTAGCTGTCAAACCCTGGCAGTCTACGCATCACCACGACTGACATCGATTTGCAGTCGCACACTGTTATTTATTTTATTTCCCATAGCTGCAACACAGGATAATGAAATTCTATTCAAACTGATATTGCCCACACTTATGTAAAAATTCAAGAAATAAGGCAAGTCCTTTAATAGTGTGTAGCCTTCGGCGACCAGTTCGGGTAACCTGTGCAAGTAATCATGTCCTTGCATTGTTTACACTATTTTGCCAAACACTGTGTTTCACAAATCGCGCCACAATTCTCTTCTTAATTCCTATTAACGGCAAGACAGTGGTCGATTGGTAATTCTGCAACAACCTAACATGTGACTGACTGTATCGAACAATCATGTAGGCAAGGAAATAACGAAAATATTCTGAAGAATGTTGAACTGTCTCGCAGTAATTGATCATTTGTTACAAAGTCTCAGGTCTCATAGCTAGGTAAGAACTCGTATAATGTACATTTTCTTCAAATATTGATACTACTATTGACCACACTGCATTGTTTATGAATTATTTAAACTCTGGTTGTCGTTTTGTCCATTATTTCTACGGAGAAAATAATCTTTTAGCTACATATTGTGTGTTTACCGCTCTCGGCGGCTGTGTGTCAAAGGTCATTTCAGCGCTCAAGTGGTTGTACTTCAACCCGGCCGTTCTCAACTGCGCAAATTTAGAGTTCCCAAAAAGCTTATGGCATCATTCTAGAGGATATGAGTTACTCTACTCGAAAAATATAACAAGTTTCCAAAAAAACATGTATCATGCTGGATTTATCGCGCTCAAAAATTACTTAAATTGGGTGTCAGGAAATGTCCGACAGGAAGATTAAATTTCAAAAATCTGTCAAAAATTCTACTTTATTTTGATTGCCTTGCAAATCCGCAGAGAGCGGAAGTATTTACCTGCCTTTAGCGTGATGTATTTTGTTTGGCCAACAACGCTGTGTTTTCCCCTCAAATTGCGCTGACACGCAGCCCTATTTTCCGAACTATTTCCTTGGTCTCAGAGCTTCTCAGTAATGACGAGTTCCCCCCGCCTCAATATTCGTTCAATCGATCTTAGAATTATTTTCCGTTAATAAGCGACCCATAATGATTATTCTGACAAAATTTCAGAATTTTCGATTTTTTTATATTGCACGACTTCGGCTGATATTTACGCGGAGCTGCTCTTAAGTGTTCTCTATACTGTAGATCATTAATACACTATCTTCATTGAATTCAGTAGTGGAAACTATATTATAGATCTGCTACTTGTTGGCTGGTGAGAGGAGGAGTTGTTTACTAGCATACCGTGATTCACTGAAACGATTAAAGGGTTTTTGCTTTTATTTTAATACATAGAACGTGTTTAATACCTGTAATTACTGGCTCTGACTCTCGAAACACGACTACATTCTCTGAATTTTTGTCTTCATATTCACCTGAAATATGTCAATTTAAAAATTATTTGAATTAGATAACAATACCAAACATCGTGTATTAATTGAACACTATTCGTATTGACAAATTTGTAGATCAACACACGATCGAACGTCTTCTTCTTATAGCCTACGCGTGCATGGACGGCAGAAAATGCACTCATTTCAGAAGAAGTGTGGCCTAATTCAGATCACTTCAAACAAGCTTAAATACAAGCTTCTTAGAAAGTCCAAAGTGTATGTGTGCGGTAGCTAAAACTTTTTTTCTTGGGGTGATACATAACTTTATATCTTTTCATATAAAATATCAAACGTAGTGATTTAGCTTTTTGGAAAGTCCAAAGTGTATGTGTGCAGTAGCTAAAACGTTTTTCTTGTGGTGATACATTTATCATTTATAGACCTGGAGCGAGGGGGATTCGGTGAAATATTACCCGAAGTGATGATGAAATATCATCACTAAGGGTAATATTTCGCTGAATCCCCCAAGCGGAGGGTCTATAAATGATATATAATACCGAAAATTAAAAACCTCCAAGTTGACAATTAAAAACTTGACACATACCTTCGTGAATACGATGTTTTATTTTCGGATTAACGCAAGTATTGTCGCTTTTCTTTCGAATCATATATCGTTTGGAATATTAATGACAACATTTTTCAAAATTTGCTTCAATATATTGAAAAAGCCCCAGGTTTTACGTTTAAAATTTGATTATTCATCACTCTAATACCATTTATATTTGTGAAAAATGTCGATGCGCGAAATGCTGTTATTTTGTATTTTCGATCGGTTTATTTTCCTTTATTATGAAGTCAAAAGCTAAAATAAGTCATTATAATATGATTATTTATGATTTAAAAGCATCAAAAGTGTATTTATTGTGATTTTTGCTGCTGTAAACTAGCTTTATTTATCAAGGGTGGGTAGTAGCGAAGTAGTTGTAGTTCGCTACTGTAGCGAACTACAATTTTCAAGTAGCCAGTAGTTTTTGACTACTTTTTTAAAACAGTAGCTGTAGTTATAGCGAACTACATTTTGCTTAAATGTAGCCAAGTAGTTGACTACTTTTCAAACAGCAAATCGCTATTCGCTACTTTTTAAATTTGTTAACAACTAGATAGAATAGCATGATTATGCTTGAGACACGGTTTGCTTAAATCCATACTCAATAGTCAATTTGCACTCTTGAACACTGTAGTGCTTACAAAAATGTTGCTTTGTGTTTACTGTTGCTACTCGTAAGTCGATTTGTTATAGGTTACATTTCAGCCTGAGTTAGTAAATGCTCCAAATACAGTAAGACTAAAAAATATAGCGTAGCGAAATAGCGAAATAGTTCGCTACATTTTTTAAGCAGTAACTGTAGTCAGTAGCGAACTACCTTTGTTCAAAAGTAGCAGTAGTTGTAGCTGACTACATATTTTGGAAGTAGCTGTAGTTATAGCGAACTACAAAAAATTTGTAGTCAACCCACCCTTGTTATTTATATACATAACAATTTAGTATTTAGGCATGTGCGAGCGACAATTATCCAATCAGAATCCAATATTTTCATTTTCCCGCGAATACGTTTGTTTTGATTGCATCATTCATAATAGATACTATGACATCATAACTGAGACACAGGTCATTGCGCGGAATTCAAGATGGCGTCGGGCAAATGTGCATTCCTCGATTTAGCCGCTAGTATTTATATTTTGTCGGCCATCTTGTTGCATGCGTGTTGTCTCGCGAATAATATTCAACCCCTTGTTCCCCCCCGGGAAACATGGGGTAGAACATTGTCAAAAGGAACGCAGGCTCGCTAATTGATGATACGGCGTGACATCGCGATTAATTTCATGCTCACGTGCCACAAACTAAGCTTCCTGATTGGACAATTTGAAGTTGAGGTATAATATAACCTTATATCGTATTATATAAAATACCAAACGTTATAGTGATTCCTATGAAATTCTGTATAAACGTATTTTCTGACTGCCACAGTTGTGTAATCCTATTTTCAGTGTTAGACTAAAAAATTCAACAATAACGAGGTATAATTGTTTTCTTTTGTGGAAAAACTTAATCGCATGCACGTTTTTTTTTATTTAGCAAAGTTTTCGAAAGCTTTCCTTGACAAATATATACGTGGTGCATAAGCATCATATATTTTTATATTGATCGTCAAAAATTATTACCTGTGTCACTATCCAAAGCCAACTTTTGAGCTTTTTGAATCTCGTCAATTGCTTTATTAGTATCTCCAAGATTGAACCAGGCAATTCCCAAACCTGTTAAAGCCTTCTCTTTCAGAATATCATGATTAACATGTGTCCTAACAATATACAGTGCTTTTTCATATCATTCTATCGCCATCTCGTAATCACAATCTTTCCCGCAAACTGTTGCCAAATTAAAACATGATGTTCCTTCACAATGTCTATCATCAAGTTCCACAGCAATTGTCAAAGCTTCTTGGTAATATTCCTTCGACCTCTTATAATTACCAATGTTGCAGAGGATATTTCCGATGGCTTGTTTTGTGCGATATTCTTGATATTTGTTGTCAACTTGTTTAGCAATTTCTTTCGCATTCTCGTAAAATGTTATTCCCTCTTGAAGTTGATCAGCAACAAAGAGGCAGCAGTAGCCGCACCATTTATTGATAATTCCCTCCAGAGCTTTCTCAAAACAACCCCGTTGCATTTCTTTATCCTTCATTTCTTTGTTAATGCTTAACGCTTTCTTGTAGTATTTAATGGCTTTCTCGTGTTTCTTTAATTGTTGAAAGGTATGGCCGAGCATGAGACATGTGCTGGCTTCTTCGTTTCTATCAGCAAGATCAAGGGGAATTTCTTCAGCTTTGAGATACGATTTGACAGCAGCATTAAACTGACAACTCTTGTATTGTACATGTCCTATATTTGTATGAGCTTCTTTTTCAAGACATTTGTGGTTGAGCTGTTTTGCCACTGTGATGGCTTTTAAGAAATACTCTTCCGAGGATTCAAAGTCGTCAATATAACTGAACGCACCTCCCAACCCTATGCTAGCATTGATTTCTCTCGTTTTGCAAGTCTTACGACTTCATTGTAATACTGTATTGATTCTTGGTACTGACCAGCTTGAAGGTGGTTGTAACCTAGCCATTGATATGCTATTACTTCCATCTCATCTCCCTTTAGGTCTGAAGATATTTTACATGCTTTTTGATAATACTCGATTGCTATCTTATATTCAGAATTACCAGTAAATACGTTTCCCAAGTGTTGATAAGCTTTTGATTTGATGTCATCGTGATCTGTTTCATTTGCAATTTGAACTGCTTCTTCGTAGCTTTTGATGGCATCTTCACTTCGGCCTTCCCTTTGGTAAGAACGTCCTAAGACCAATAATTGTTCTGCTGGCGCAATTCTGTCATCAGTGATACTTTCATTTTCGATGTTTGTAATTTGATTCACATTATCAACAGTTTCATCCTGAAATTGAGCGTCGTCTGATGTACCAGATATTTTAACACTATTAGTATTATAGTTTTCATCGACTGTATCTAAATAGAAACATTAGAAAAATACAGTTATGTTAACCGTCTATGCTTCCAGAATTTCTTCCAACGATTTTGAAGTTGTATCTAATAACTATATAGTCAATTTGGCACCAAACTGATGGGGCTTGGAATCAGCTAAATATATTCTAGACTGCTATATTTTTAAACTGTTAATTTCCTGTTATAGGTTTCAATTATCAGGAAGTAATGATGTGATATCAAAAATAACAAAGCAATAGACACTCCGAAAATAGTTAACATTTTGTTAATCAACGTTTAGACTAGGTTTCAGTCATCATCAGGAGTGACGCTATTGAAAAATACTGAGATATATATTTACAAGTTAAGCGGATCAAATTACGCGCTAATTAAATATCACAAGTTCCTTAGAGACTTTTGTTCGGTGATCAAGTTCCGTGATAAAGATTCCTTATATAACAATAATGATTTAGATTTATTCCTGTGTTGGGTATAGGTTAAGTAGGGTCTGGGAGTATTGAAAATGTTCACATGACATGATATGTTTGCAGTGAACTTCTGAGTTTTTGTTGGAGGAGTGTTCTTTAATCCTTGTTCTGCGACAGCGGTCAGTTTTTCCGATGTACGACAATTGACACCCAGGATAGCTAAATTTGTAGACAACACTACGTTGGAGCTCTTTATCCGTTCGGTCTCTTAGGCTCAGATAGGTGTTGGTACTCGTCGTGTCATAGCTAGATCGTGATAAATAATGTGATATCACTATGACTATTTTAATATCTACTATGTCTTTAAACATTTCAAGGCTTCCAAAAGTATTATTAATTCAGTATTTTACAACTCTCTCGGATTCTAATTTGGTCTTTCTGGCGGTTTCTATTTATTGTTAATTCGGGGCCCCGAATTAAAAATTTTGCCTGGGCAACCAAATTTCTCTGGGAGGCCCTGCTGACCCCTTAGCGCTCCTAATTTCTTCGAAACAATCTCAAAAATCAAAAAATGCTCTACAACGGAAAACTATTTTATTTTTATTAATGTGCAGAAAATTTGGGACGTTTTACAATTACTTTCGAAATAACTCTAACCTTACCAACCTGCATGAACCGTCTTCATGCACCTAAGCTTACCTTTAAGTCTTGACAATTTTTCAAATACATTCTTTGCTAAACCTTTATATCCTTGTTTTCTTGCAATTTCCAAGGCTTTTTCATAGTAATGAATTGCTGTTGGAATCTGATTGTTTAATCTATAAGCATCTCCTAACCCAAGGCGTGCGTTTGTTTCTTCTGGGATATATCCTCGTTCTATGCAATTTCCAAGGCTTTTTCATGATTGTGTTGAACTGCCTTTTGAGTCTGATTGCTTAATCTATAAGCATCTCCTACCCCAAGGCATGCGTTTGTTTCTTCTTGTTTATATCCTTGTTCTATTGCAATTTCCAAGGCTTTTTCGTAGTGCTGAACTGCCTTTTGAATCTGATTGTTTAATCTATGAGCATCTCCTAACCGAAGGTATGCGTTTGTTTCCTCTTCTTTAGATCCTCGTTCTATTGCAATTTCCAAAGCTTTTTCATAGTGCTGAACTGTCTTTTGAATCTGATTGCTTAATATATAAGCATCTCCTAGCCCAAGGTATGCGTTTATTTCTTCTCGTTTATATCCTCGTTCTATTGCAATTTCCAAAGCCTTTTCATAGTGCTGAACTACCTTTTCAATCTGATTGCTTAATCTATAAACATCTCCTAACCCAAGATATGCGTTTGTTTCCTCTTGTTTAGATCCTCGTTCTATTGCGATTTCCAAGGCTTTTTCATAGTGCTGAACTGCCTTTTGAATCTGATTACTTAATCTATAAGCATCTCCTAACCGAAGGTATGCGTTTGTTTCCTCTTGTTTATATCCTCGTTCTATTGCGATTTCCAAGGCTTTTTCATAGTGCTGAATTGCCTTTTGAATCTGATTGCTTAATCTATAAGCATCTCCTAACCCAAGGTATGCGTTTGTTTCCTTTTGTTTAGATCCTCGTTCTATTGCAATTTCCAAGACTTTTTCATAGTGCTGAACCGCCTTTTGAATCTGATTGCTTAATCTATAAGCATCTAGCTCCTAACCCTTGGTATGCGTTTGTTTCCTCTTGTTTAGATCCTCGTTCTATTGCAATTTCCAAAGCTTTTTCATAAGTGCTGAACTGCCTTTTGAATCTGATTGCTTAATATATAAGCATCTCCTAGCCCAAGGTATGCGTTTATTTCTTCTCGTTTATATCCTCGTTCTATTGCAATTTCCAAAGCTTTTTCATAGTGCTGAACTACCTTTTGAATCTGATTGCTTAAGCTATAAACATCTCCTAACCCAAGATATGCGTTTGTTTCCTCTTGTTTATATCCTCGTACTTTTGCGATTTCCACGGCTTTTCCAAAGTGCTGACTTGCCGTTTGAATCTGATTGTTTAATGTATAAGCATGTCCTAAACTAATATTTACATTGGTTAATTGTTTTTCGTCTTTCAGTTCCTTAGCCAATTTCAAAGCTTCTTGAAACTTTTCAATTGCCTGTTTAAACTGGCCGGTCTTTTTAAAAGAGCGTCCATTGTTAAGGTACACTTCTAGCAGCTGCTTCTTTTCACGTTCGTTATTCATTCTTAATGCTTGTGCAGTCTGGTCTGCTGGTCAAATACTGTTTGCCTTTGATAGCTGAAAGTAGAAATAAGTTCATTGGATTGAAACCATGTAAAATGCTAAAGCAACATTTCACCTGATACGATATCGGTTAAAAGCTATTGTGATAAATCATTGTTTGTTGTCGAAAAGTTTTTTTATACTTGATTAAATACAACGTGGTTGTCCGATACAGCTAAGTCTGATACAGGTGCTTGGTTCTAAGGGTTAGTTTTTGGTAATTGATTCGCTTAAGGTGGCTCCCTACGTAAGTATTTACTAGAAAATACATGCATGCAGAAACCCTCGCCCTCTGACAATACCATTGTATTTTCGGAACATGAAGTATTTAAAGTAGTTGTCATGGTAACACGATAATTTTTTAAGAATATTTTTACAAATGAAAAATCTCCTAAAAATATCACTTTAATTACAAAATTACCAATTTCCCAAACATATTTTTGTTAGGTATGTTATTATACGTAATATAAGCTTCAATTTAAGGTAAAATTCAACCACAAACGCTTCGAAAAACGTTTTAAAGTGTTCTTTATAAAACTACGATTATAAGAACTAAAACTTGTGTTGTATAGCCCCAAATTTTGTCCTGCTGTCGTAAATTTTGTTATGTATGTTTAAATTTGGTTGTTGTACAATGGCCATTTTGAGGAACAGAATTTAAGTTGACTGGACTAGAATTTAGAAAAGGATTTTGGCGGTAATGACCCCTCATAGCTCTACTTCTGCTTTCCTTCCAAGCACGCTCTTGTTGATGAAAGGTGTCATTATTCATTTCTCAAGCCGGAAACGAAATTTAAAACAGGAAAAATTCAATTGCAAAGAAAGAAAACTTTATTCGATTCCTGATGAAGTGCCGTACTTCCAGTTGCTTGAAAGTCCATGAAACATGCCAAATGTGGGATAGCGTCCCACAGAGTTTATTTTAACGTGCAGTTTTACACAAAATGTGCAGTTCTAAACCCATTTGTGCAGTTCTTAAAATACAAATGTGCAGTCACCAAACTAACAAAAATAGCCTTAATTGAAACAGTCTTCTCATCCACTCGTTACCATTGTGGATGCTCCAGAAAATTCCAGAAATGTTGTCATTTATTGAGCATAAACATAAACTCTGTAATAGACTTTAATAGACTGCATGTACCCACCTACCTAGATATACAGAAATTAGTTTGTACTGGGAAGTATAACTCTAGATTTGATCACATCGAGCCTGAAAACTTGGGTTTCTAGCTGTTAATGACTATAATCTGTATATTGAAAGACATATGTCGTAATTCTAATGACGTAGTTATGTCTTATTGTTTCCGTCCAATATATTTGGGGTCCTTTTATTTAACGAAAAATCAGGGTTTATTTTAACGTGCAGTTCTACACAAAATGTGCAGTTCTAAATCCATTTGTGCGGTTCTTAAAATACAGATGTGCAGTCACCAAACTAACAAAAATAGCCTTAATTAAAACAGTCTCATTTACTCGTTACCCTTGTGCATGGATGCTCCAGAAAATTCCAAAAAATGCTGTCATTTATTGGGCATGAAAAATATAAACATTTTCTGGGGGAGGACTCCAGACCCTCCTATTTTCCTCACAAATCACTTTCGTGCTGGGGTAATGGAAAAGAAGGTAAAATTGGGGCGAGCGAAGCACCCCAAAAGAGATTAGAATGGAAGAACCTAATATACTTTTATGCCTCAAATGCAAATTTAAGGTTGTTATATATTATTGAATATCCATGATTCCCAGTTACATGCTTTGAAACAGTTTTTGTGAGTGGTTGGGTAAAACAAATCTTTGCCAGAACTTAAGAGCCTCTAGATTCAAATTGTTTTGGGGAACACCCTCTAGCTCACCCACCCAGAATGGAGTTTGTCTGGCCTTTCTCCAATTATCCCACCGAACCACACCATTATTCTGTCACCTACATGCAGGTACAAAATCCTTCGACACCCCCCCCCTAGTCAAACACCTGTTGCCTTCGTGACATCCCTATATGTGCAGTTCTAAATTTTTCTTAAAATAAACCCTGGCGTCCCAAATAAGTTCACTACATCAATCACAGTACTTTATACTCAAACACAAACTTTAGTAAATCCACGAAAATTTGACACACGCCCGTATATAACACTAATGAAATATAATGTTGTATAATATCGTTTAGCATTAATTTATCTCAACATGAAGCGAGATCTGAATTTCTAAAGCTCAGTGGGACTTCATTTCTTATTTAAATACGTTCAGCTTTTTAGTGTTAAGGAATTTGCTTCTCTAAGCGAGGTTTTCGTGTTTTCATTTTCTACTGATTCAAAGTGAGTTTGTATTTAAAGGGATACGGCAATATATATTTTTATTATTTCATTTCAAGGAACTTTTAAAATTATATGCTAATCTTCTTTTCCGATTTTGGTAACTTTATTATTTCTTGAAATATTTTGACTTAAAATAATTTGCTGTCCGCCATTTTGGATTAATTTTTATCTCATTATCGGTGATTTTAGTGACGTCATAAGCAGGGTTAGCCTGGGTTAGCCATATAAAACTACATCTAAATGACCAAGTAACATGTCTTGTTTGAAATTAACATGTCTTGATTTCAAATAGTTACTGAAGTATATGATTTTGGGCTCATAATAACCAATTGCTCTATGGATAAAATTCTTGCGTGACCCTGCTTATGATGTCACATGCATATCGCCAAAATCCAAGATGGCGGAAAGCTCGCTCGCTGATTTGTGATTTTTTTGTTCAAATATCTCAAGAAATAATATAGTTACGCAAAATCGGTAAAAGAGATTAACATATAATTTTAAAAGTTCTTCCAAATGAAATAATAAAAATCTGTATTGCCGTATCCCTTTAAAAGTCAAACCTGACAAACCACACATAATTATGTGTTCGCTTCTTATGAAGAGGGTGGCTTAATAAAAATTTACTGACTATACTGAAAATGTGCATTGTTTTACAAAACCGAAAAGCACACCAACCTTAAGTGCATACGTATATAGATCAATTAACATGCAATGTCTGTCTCTTTCTGTCAATTCCTAATCCAAAATCCTTTAAGCCGGAAAGAAAACGTTTCTAAAAATCTATAGAAAGCCCGGTCAGGGGTTTCAGGTATTATATTGGTATTTAGACCATTTTTCTTTTTGGTATATATACAGTATTTTATTGTTACATATAAGTATTGTTATTTTACCCAAGATTAATTGCTCAGCCAGACAGACATACTGCATGGAATTTTAGGTACATATATAATGATATATTGAGCCTGCATGCCCCAGTATTATTCAGTATGTTGGTGTTCTGGTAACCCCTTGGCTGTAGACCGCGCATGATCTATCGGTTTTCTACAGAACTTACTGTCGTTCCAATTGAAGTGTTCCTCAAATATTGATTCAATACATTACCTCGGGCTGACCAATTCATTTGATCAGGTTCCTCGAAATATTCATACACTTCCTAGTGTAATTGTAAACTTCCTGTTGAATAGTTTGAATGCACCAATCACCTTTGTTGTTTGTGCAACTAACCAATCATAAATAGAAAGGAAGTAACCAAAAATGATCAAATTCTTGGAATTGGCTCTTTCACAGGAAGTGTATGAATATTTCGAGGAACTTGATCAAATGAATTGGTCAGCCTGAGGTAATGTATTGAATCAATATTTGAGGAACACTTCAATTGGAACGACAGTAAAAGAAAAGTATTGTGAGGAACTTACTACGATACAATAATTTCAATTATATACGACATATCTAATTTTATGCCTTTTAATAGATTCTCAAGTTGTCACCTTCGATACGATAATCCTGGGTATTGCTTTGCAATTATATCAATATATCAAAATAAATTCTATTCCGTCTATTACAGGCTTGGTTAGAAATTTACAGTGTATTACGAGTAAGCACTTACCGAGCAGATAAGCAATTCTCTATCATCACAAAGCGATGTAAAGCCAAGCAAATACCAGCTATATTTGTTTCTGATAATGAACTGTACAGATCACCAAGAAGTAGGATAAATTGACAATGATCAAATTTCTTCTCAAACATAACTTTAGTATAAAAGTCACGAATTACGAAAAAGTTATAAAGGCCTGTTTAAACGGATCCAACATTGTTGGACCAACATCATCCAACAATGTTACTATACTAGATATGACTGCTTCTCTTTCAAATCTTTTTGGTTAGATAAGTTTTACTCAAACTCTAAACCTAGTCTTGACAAAAATATTTGAAAAAGAAGCCGTTTGAGCCATTATTTCAACAATGTTGGATGATGTTGGCCCAACAATGTTGGAAACGTTTAAACAGGCCTTTAGTCCTTTCTGAATGTAATGATCTTTATTTCATTGCGATAGCTTTTATAGCTTTTACGTCACATGAAATAAAACAGTGTGCAGTTTTTTTGGGGGACACGCGCGATTTAATATCAGCATTTCTGCAGTTGAGTCACCATCTACTGCCGTGTAATACAGAATGAAACCCACCGATAAAAACAAGTCATAATATACAGGGTATACAAGTTATGCCATCTTATTTACATTACCGCGTAGTGATTCTCGACAGCTCGTACTCGTATCGGATGTTGATTGGCTGACGTGGACGGTAGCCGCACAGAACCTCCTTGAATAACCGCTGTTCTGGACAGTCTGCTGGCCTGCACACTGTGCGATCGCCTTAGTCCCTCATTGCGATTTGACCTCCCCGGCAAGGTCTGCCTGGCCGTGACCTCCCCCTCGCCAGTATTCACACAAAAGTTTGTAAGCATGACGTCAGAGGGACCACCGCTCTCCAGGGGAATGGGATTCGATCGGAAATGTTCGAGCATGTCGAAGAGACTTGGAAACCAGAGATGTTGTACACGACAATGGCCGTCTGCATTCAATGACAGTCGTAGATGCTGAAACAAAAATACATGATTAAAGCCTTGGGCAAACTAGGGAACATTGTTGCGGAAACATTGTGATTCGCCATGTTTCCTCAAGTGCTTCTGTGTTTGCCCACCCGTGGAAACATCGTTGCAGAAACACAATTTGCTTCCCGAGAAGCAGAAATGTTTCCTAGTGTTTGCCCACCTTGGGAAACATGGCGAAACATTGGCAGGAAGCAATGTTTCCTAGTTTGCCCAGGGCTTAAGGCTGACGTGTGTCTCTCTTTTATTTCACTTTGTCCAGACAAGAGTTACAAGTGCAACCAATTCTCGCTACAGACGACCCGTTTGAGTGACCACGAATGACTACGAGTGATAAAAAGCCGTTTCGGAGCAGATTGTTATAAAAGGCGAAAAACGTTTTGTTTTCGTGGTTTTCTCCAGCGGAAATAACACTCGGCATGAAATATAAACCCACTCTTACGGAATTACCAACTACGAAAGCTTGTAAATATTTATATTTTCAGGTCGCGAGTATGCAAATATTTATTGAGTATCCACAAGCTACCCCACAAACCTTCGCACGTCCTTGAAAGTTAAACGTGAGCACGTAATCTCCCTGTCGTGTCTCGCTCTGTCGTATGAGAAATATTCCATGCCATTGCTGTCCGCCCTGAGACACGAGATGCGAGGCTTCGAGCCGCGAGAGTGTGCCGTGGAACCAGGGGTATGGGGCGAGCGGGTGATTCTCTCCCGTGAATGATATCCAGTTTTGAACGCCTTCTGGCATCGTCGACGTGTTTTCTGTTTGCTCTGACGGAACTGAAAAATATGAATTTTACATCAATATGCAAAATAATCCTGTGGTACTAGGAACTGAACACACGAACCATGGCAGTTTAGGTCTGTTTTATACGTGGAATTTTGGTCGTGTCGAATGCAATTAAGACAATAGATAATGAGATGATAAACCTCATTAAGCTTCTTTTCTGTTATTGTTTGAATTGCATTCGAGGCGACCGAAATGCGACGAATAAAACAGGCCTTATTGCAGAATACTACCCATATACTGGCCCACCACGTTTGAGATATCTTTTTCAGGTAGTTCAGACACAAACCACGACAGTTTATTACGACAGTTTATTGCGACCGGGGCCCAGGCACCGAAGAATTTTTTTTTAGTTATGTTTCATATTGTCAAAATCGAGTGTTCACTAATTAGCCCAATAAAACAGACGAACTTTCACTCATTCTCGTGAGTGAGTCAAAGGTCGTCTATTTTATCAGGCTATTCACTAAATGACTCAAACCCAATTGGTCGAAAATTTTCATATGTCAAGCCGAAAACGGAGTTTTGGCATTTGAAAACGGAGTTGTGGCATTTGAAAACGGAGTTTTGGCATTTGAAAACGGAGTTTTGGCATTTGAAAAGGAAGTTCTGGCATTTGAAAACGGAGTTTTGGCACTTGAAAAGGGAGTTCTGACATTTGAAAACTGAGTTTTGGCTTTTGAAAACGGAGTTCTAGCATTTGAAAACTGAGTTTTGGCATTTGAAAACAGAGTTCTGGCTTTTGAAAACTGAGTTGGCATTTGAAAAGGGAGTTCTGGCATTTGAAAACACTGAGTTTTGGCATTTGAAAACGGAGCCGGTTCTGGCATTTGAAAACTGAGTTTTGGCATTTGAAAACGGAGTTCTGGCATTTGAAAACCGAGTTTTGGCATTTGAAAAGGGAGTTCTGGCTTTTGAAAACGGAGCTCTAGCATTTGAAAACGGAATTCTGGCATTTGAAAAGGGAGTTCTGGCATTTGAAAAAGGAGTTCTGGCTTTTGAAAACGGGGATCTGACAAATAGACAGGCAAACAAACAGACAGACAGATTGACCCCGGTGGACATAGTCAGCTCATTGTAGAATACTACCTACACTGGACCACCACGTTTGAGATCAGAGATATAACATACCTCTTTCATTGTTAACATCTGGACTGGGAGGCGGTGTTTCATTGGATACACCAAAAAATGTCTCATGTGATTCTTCTCCCCTGGGTCTGGGGTCCACGTCATTCATCAAATGTGACCGTGGGGGTAAAGCAGGGGGAGGTGAAGAGGGTGGAGCAGGACTGGCAGAATCTAGAAAACAGAAAGCCAACACTATTGAAATGACTGGGAAAATAAGGTGTGGTGGGGAGGTGGGGGATATTTTAAGGGATAGGACCATTCTATTACCTTGGTAAATTATAGTATGTCCAAAATGCAAAAGCATGAAAACATCGGGATTGTGGTGGGTTCATATGATTGACAGGGTGAGGGGCTGTCTAAGCTCATCTGATATATGTGTGGAGGGGCATAGATTCGTAGGGTACCTCCTCTTACCAACACCATAAATTATATAAAAATTCCATATAAAATCATGTACAGTACTTACAGCGAGGCTCAGATGTAATGGGTGCATCGAAACTGGCTGCTCGAGGAAAAGTCCCACTGCGTGAACCTGAAATTTATGCCAAATGAAGATGTACATAGTTATTAATTAAGTATCCGAAGAATAATTAACTTTGTCTCTCATGCAACACAGCAACTAAACAATGACCAGTCAGTCAATCAATTTTAAACATCAACACAAATTCTACATTGAGGCTTTGGTGGTGCAATGGAAACACCTTTCACCTCCGAGATCATGGCTTTGATTGTCACTGTGGACTCATGGCATTCATGAGAAAAGAGTCTGTCAATTAGCCATTCCGAAGTTGATGAGTGGACTGGGGACGAGTGCTAAAAAGTACCCAAATTAAGAAATGAACCAAATCACTAAAAAGACCACCTCAAAATTAGTAAGTATACAAAGTTTGAAGATGTTTCCATGAATACCCTTCGAATAATAAGCTTTCGAAAATTGTGAAATTGCTGAATTAAGACTGTTTTGGGGACGCGCGTCCCCAAAAACAAAAATTACAGTACATTTCATAGTAAATATCGCGATTTTCGAAAGCTTATTATTTGAAGGGTATTCATGTAAATGTCTTCAAACTTTGTATACTTACTAATTTTAAGGTGGTCTTTTTATTGATTTGGTTCATTTCTTAATTTGGGCACTTTTTAACACTCATCCCCAGTCCTCTCATCAACTTCGGAATGGCTAATGCTGTACTAAAAGTTGTGGGTTCCTCTGTGTACTCCAGTTTCCTCGCGGCTGGGATTAGTCCCTACTGACCCATTAAGTGGCTGCCTGAGGCATCCTTAGAAAGCCTTCAACTCAGTCAGGTTTAGCTGCGTCCTTCTCAATTCAGCTTAGCTCTCGGCTGCAAGTAAGGACGTATTCACTTACTTGTGACATTCTCATTTGGTAATGAGACCAGGAGAGGTCCGTCTCTGCGACCATTATCAGGTGGTGTCGGTAGCGACGGAAATGTTGGAGCAGTTGTTGTAGTTGGACTTAACAAAATAAAACGTTTTTACAAGAAGATCTATGGATAACTACTTTCAATACATTATCACACACAAAACCCATTGAGTGGCAGCACTCTCCCGTTGACAAATAAAATCGTAGAGGTAGGGTGGATTGCCATGCAAATGGGCTTATAGTAAAGTTAAATCATTAATGCAAACTTTCCCCCTTCATGAGTTAAGTCCTTTGGCATTACACAGAAATTTGAACAAAGTAACAGCCATTGGGGTACATAAATTATGTCCTAATGGATTAAATTAGCAAATAGTCTGGTGAGTCATTATTTACTTTGATAAGAAAATTGTCTTGCATCTTATAAGGCATTGCAGTTATTTAAAACCATCTATACCTGCTTGTTGGCCCGCCCTGGTCTTCTTCCATACAATGTCGTATCTCGTCAAGCCAAGTATTCATTTCATATTTATTGCTTGCTCGCAACATATACTCCTTTTTATTAACAGCTTTAATAACAAAGACGTGATCTCCATCAGGCATTTCCAAAATGGTCGCTGGCCTCGCTTCATGGATCAGGAAACAGAATATGCCGTTCTTTGGTTTTGCAGCCTGACAATTTATCATGAATACAATGTAAAATTTATCACAGTCAAAAAATTTGGGGTCTCTAAGATTACAGTAGTACCAGAAATTCATCACTCCAGTCAAAAGTAGAAAATATTAACATAAACAACACTTAATTATGCAGACAGTCAATCTGATTGTGTGCTAATTAATATAATTTATTAACAATTTTACCATTGAAATTTAATAAACCTCTATATCATGAGAGAATGAACAACTTCCACTACAAAATAATTTAATTCTTTTTCATTAAATTATCTCACATAAAAGCAGGCCAGTGTGGAAAGTCTCGGCCGTGCAAATTTTGATGCTTGCTATACATTTTCTATTAAATTTTCGAAATCTTTCCAAACTTTCCAGTCAGGAAAGTGGATTTCAGTTTTTAAAATTCATACATTAAATTAATGAACATTAAAACCAGCCAATTTACTATGGCAACAATTTTAGTTCAAAATCCATATTTAAATCACACCACATACTATCATTTAATCCAATGAGCATTTAAATATCTGCCCGGGGGGGGGGGGGCAAATGTCTCGAGTTCAAACCCCCCTGCAACTCCCCCAGAAAATATGTCTGTGCTTGATTTTTCATAAATCAAGAGTAAAGGCACCCTGGATTCCAGAGCCTTCGACAGTAAATAATAAATTGAAACGTCGCGAAGTCTCTGGTTCAATGGGGAGATTCGTTGATTAAATAATTCTGTTTTGTGGCGCGGTTTAATCAAAGAATCTCCCCGTTGAACCAAAGCCTTTGCGACGTTTCAATTTATTATTTACTGTCGAAGGCTCTGGAATCCAGGGTAGAGTAAAGGCGATTCACTCAGGGACTCATTAGATTGAGGCTCCCAGGCAAAGAAGAGATTTGTAACATCATTATCAAAAGGTCGCATCAAGGAATGAGAAAGTTTTAATACTGCAATCGCAGATGCAATATAATATATACTTACAATTTGACACCAGAAAGCTGTGCATTGAGACTGATTCAAATACCTAAATACAGGTGAAAAGTTTCGAGGTCAAAACGTCGAAGTTTTACTTATTTTTAAAGTAGTTGAACTCTTCTGAATCCACAGCTTCTGGTGTTGTCACTACCTAAAGCGTGCCAATAAACCGTTTACTACTTCACACGTGATATTATACATGTACTTTATTACAAAAAAAAAAAAAGTTGATGTTGAAGCAGCCTTTTCTTGTTTATTTATTTATACCAAGACACTTATACAAAACACATAAAAATGGGACCGTATCAGTTTCTTTTAATGGCTGAAATTTGCAAACAATATGTTTTTGCCGAAAGATTAACTTCCTCCGTAGCCAATGCACTTAAAATTCGACATCAAATTATATATTAAAGATAACAAGATTAAAGCTCATTATTTCGTTCGGTAAACACACATTTATTCGCGCAGTATATGAAACATAATTAATCTAGATTTTAAGCTATTCATTGTGTTTAAAGCTGTGGTTTAAAGATTTAAAGCGCACTGAACATTTCACGTATACAGGAAACGCAATGACTTTATTGACTTACCTTTGGCGGTGCATAAAATTCCAGCATGAACCCACCCGGAGCTTTGTACAATAAAACACGACATTTCTGCCAGAAAAACTCTTCTAAATCAACCCCAGAGTCTAAATTTACTAGATAATCTAATATACCGTCTTTTTTAACCTCGTTCGGCGGTCGTTCTTGGTCAAGACTCAAGTTTGGTGGCCTGGATCTCGTCGCTTCGTTTAAGCTTCCGTTCGATGGTGGCAACTGTGTCTCGACTTGATTCGCGCTGTTTGAACGCTTAAACAGGTGTTTAAAGTTAAATTTCGAGCGAGGTTTGCCCCCTTGGTCCTGTCCGTTTACTTGTTGGCTGTTTGGGCCACTGGGAGGATAATTTGCCTCGCTAGAGAAGGGCCCAGGCGAGTCCGGATCACTGAAGTCATTCCAAGTTGCATTGATAAGCTCAGCTGTGAACGTCTGATTGAAACACTCGATGAACTTTTTCGCGAAAATATTCGCAGAACTTATGCCATCGTACACGGGATTATTGTCCACAAAATATTTCACTTCTTTTGCAAATTGTCTCGCAGCGTTTTCGCCATGTTTTCGACAAAAATCCTCCCATCTGATCGAAGTACCATTGGTGTCACGATTCATGTTTTGTTCCGAACACAACACGAAAGTACGACCTTCAGACACAATTGTCAAATGCAATTTCAAAGCGATGTTTCAGCACACAATCTTTACTCGAAAAAGCTTCAAAACCAAACCGACATTCGAGCTAGAGTCATCATTATAATTTGTTGTTCATAAAACTGGAAATTGCGTTGTTTTTTAAACAAACATGCATGATTTTTGACGTTCGAAACCACATTCGAAAGCTCGAAAGGTCAAATTTCTGAAAATCGATCGCGATCAAATAACCGAGCCTTCAGACAATCATAATAAACACCAGCATACTTTATGTAATTAAAACATGAGGACTCTGATGACGTCACAATTTTTGTAAAGTGGACCTTTTCGTGAAAAATAGCGCCATCTTAAAATGCAGATGAATTGTGGGAGATTAAAGGTAATTATGTTAATTAAGCCAATTAATAACAGTAATTAATGTGTATTTTCTTGTGGGGCGTAAATATACAAAAATAAATCTTTATTTTCTTAAACAAATATTCTATGTACAAATAATGATAAATACTATGTTTATTTTACACAATTTTGTATACATTGTTATTAGCTATTTGGCAGAGTATAGAAATGTGCAAACAATTATATTCTGATTATTCTCCTGTGAAACTCTCCAAAATTCAAACGTGTTCACCTTTCCCTTCAAAGAATAACTGCCAAAAAATCACAACTCTAAAATAAGAGCATGGCATTTTAATGGGTTGCAAATCAAACCTATGATGAGCCTATCATCGACATTGTGAAATTGTTGATTATTATAGATGACAGCTAATACTTACTTTGCAAGCCATGATCAAATTGCTTACACCAAGTTCTGGATACGATGAAACACTAAATAAAGCTTCTGCTAAACAACCTTCGTTACTGAGAGTGGAAAAGAGAAAATAACTTCATTGCTGTAGTACAATTATAATAATAGTTAAAATGTTTGCAATTCAAGTTAACCCTACCTATGCTGCTCCATAGCGTCTCCTAGCTGATTTCTTACAAACTCCAATGTTATTGCATCATTCTAAAAACAATTGCTCCTAATTATATCAATGCCATCTAATCAGGAAACCTATTTCTTTATAATGGATAGCTCTGTCCAGTGTTACTACAGGAGGAAACCTAAACTAAACTAACTTTATTTATACTGGATAGCTCTATCAGTTCTAAACTGTTCCCCCTAGAGGTCCAGTAAGGATCATCTCTTATTGATCCAGTGTTACTACAGGAGGAAACTTAAACTAAACTAACTTTATTTATACTGAACAGCTCTATCAATTCTAACCAGTTCTTCCTGGGGGTCGAGTAAATGCCATCATTTGCAGTCAGTGTTACTTCTTCAGCTAGAGATACTTAAACTAATGAATGCATTTGAATATGTAATTGACATTATTCTTATTGTACGATTGTCTTACCTCTGTGTCGATTCTTATTCCGCAAGAGCAGAAAATTATCTGTTTATTTTGCAGCAATGGATTTCTAAATCACAAAACATTAGTCATACATTCTTAACAAGAAAACTGAGTCCTAATTGAGCGTTACAAAAATTGATGGAAAAATGAAAGACATACTGTTTACATATAGGACATATCAAATCATCTGTTTGAAGGCATTGTATAGCAGCACAAAGCCTTTCTTCTTCAAACTTTAATCCTTCTTCATACTTGCTGAGCATCAGTTGCTCTGTACACAGAATAAATACAAAATTAAGCTGATACTAACTACGTAACATTCTACTCAAGGTTGGGCATTGTTCATTCCACCTATTAAACAGAATAGATGGTTTGGAAAATCATTAGAATAACATATAACAAACTCATTATCTATGTTCAGTCAACGTTTATTCATAAATCTAGTCGTTCACCGTCACGTGCGCATTGCATTTTTGCCCAACTAACCAATAGCAATGTCTTAGGAAAGTTACCTATTCGTAACACGAACAATAGGGTAAAATGGAAATTGCTATTGGTGGATTTGGCAAAAATACAATACGCACATGACGGTGAAGGAGCAGATTTATGAATGTACGTTGACTAACATAGATAATAAGTCTAACATACTGTAGATAATAATTATATTGTTATTCTAATGAGTTTCCAAACCATCTATTCTATTAACTATGCTCTGTACGTGATTGCCTGATAAGGTTGAATTCCTACAATATTTACTTGTCTGATTATAATTTCACCTCCGAATAGTGGTTCCAGTGTGACTTTACAATTACTAAACACCACAGGTTCTCTCAAGGCACCCCAGTTTTCTCCTGCAGCATCATGGATGGTCTTTAGTCCATAGGGGGATTTTCTGGGGGTGGGAGGGGAGGGGGGAGGGTGTGCCCCACCCAAATAAACAGGGTAAATAACAAAGTAGGGTGCATTAGGGCACAATGCCAATTGCCAAACCTTCTTTCATCAATTCATTCTGAATCTCTTCCACAATATCAATTATATCATTCAAGTCTTCATTTGGTTCAGACTATAACAACAAAAATTGATAATAAATAAATCAACTGATGCCCATCTGTCTCCCAATGACAAGTAAAAGCTGTAAAATAATTTGTGAGGTTCTGGACTGGTCAACCTGCAGTAATTACCAGAGTGAGAAATCATGTTAATTAGCCTTTCTCACTGGGGGTGTGTGTGTGGGGGGGGGGGTGTGCACCCCACCTAGACTTTGCCAGAGCGGGTGCTATTTTTCATGATAAAGCAAAAAATTATTAGAGACAAAATGAGATACAGTGGTGGCACACATGACCGACACAACTCGGCACCAGAGCTGGCAGGGCACCCCCCCCCCTACCAGATCATGCTGGATCCATCCCTGCATTTTTGGGGTACTTCCTTTTCCAAATCTGAGATTGTACGCAGTGAATAAGGTATTTGTATAACTATAATTGTGAGTATAATCATTATAAGTTCATTTACAGTTAAAGTTAAATATTTGAAAAAAATGTTTTCACATCACTTAGATATTTCTTGTCATTTTCAAAAGTACCCCAAAAATGACGAATTTGGCCTTCGTGAGACAGGCTAATTCTCTTTATCTAGCTGTCATATATCTAGTAGTCTTGTATTTATGATCTGATAAATAAAATTAAAAGATGCAGTTCATTTTTTGCTATAATTTTTACAATACAACAACAAAACTCAGTTATAGAAAGAACCTCAGCCGCCGATGCAAATGGATTGTATTGTAACGAATCCGAAGAGAGACAATTATTCTTCTCCTGACGCAAGGCAACCCACTCTTCCTCCATGACCTCTTGGACTAGGTTGCCATTCTCTGATTGGTCCTCGTCAATTCTGCGGAATTTATCAACCAATTTTGATCTTCCTTCTTGAAGTCTTCTCAAACAACGCTTCAGTAAAAACAACATTCAAATTTATTAATGAGTTGCAATAAATTGAGAAGGTTCAATATAACAAGACACAATTAATATCCCATAAATAAAATGATCTGGCATTAGGTTCAAATGTTCAATACAACAAAACACAATTAACCATTAATAAAATGATCTGGTGTTAGACAGAGTGTAATAAAGTTGGGGCATTTGGGTGCATTTCAACTTTAGTTAATGGGTTAATAAGACACATTAATGGTAGATAGTTTGGTTAACCCAGTACTGTCCCCTTAACAAATAAAATTACCTGGCGTTAGACGAAGTAAAATAATGTCTGGGGCATTTATTATAATTTTGTAATATAAGTTAATACAACAAAATGATTAATACTTACATGACTTGAGATATCTATTTTTATTTCTTATTAAGCTAAATTACCTTGCGGTAGACCTCTTTCCAAGGGGGAGTTGTATACTTGTATTTCCCCTGACGAAGTCTCACACCATTATTCGGACTTTGCGCAGACATTTTATGAACCAGTCAACTTTCCTCGCCTGAACTTTTCACGTTTTCAAGCCTTTCTACCTCAAGCCTTTCAACCTATCCTCAAACGTTACTGTAAACTTATACAACAATTTATAAACAATTCACAAAATTATCAAGCTTGAAAAGTGAAAACAATTTTTTAATTTTTATATAAAGTTAGCACTATTTTCCATCCAGCAAACTGACCTGACGTCATTTTCGGAATTTTTATAGTGATAAGCCGTGGTCGGAAATTTCCGAACTCTACTTCGGGAAGTCCTCGTGGTTTCTTGAAAAGGCCAATAAATGACAGTCGCGTGGTGAACAAAGAAGACATAACATAAGGTTGCAGGTGCTGAAGGTGCAGAGATGGAAAGTTTACAAAGTTTTTATATTCTTGTTTTATTGGGAAATATTTTCCCCTCAGCTGTGATAGCTGCAAGAGGTGTTGTACCGCTAGATAGTTTAACTTTTGATAAGGTTTGTATCAGCATATTTGTTTTGAAAATATTTTGAAAATGTATATATTTTGACAACAGGTGTTGCAATTTCAAACACTGTATAATGAAAATATAAAACAATGTGTTGTCTATGAACTATTTACGACGGATGAGACGGATTTTTTTGTGAAAATGCATCATCAATGAATCATCAATGAGAGTCTACCAGGGGGGTAGTGTTCCCTTGGAAATTTTTCCCTTCCGCAAGCTTAATAGATGTTCCGTTGTTCGCTATGATCTTTTTGGCTTTGTTCCCATTTCAAAATATGCATTGTTCCCTAGAAACCCCTGGGATAACTCCTCTATTCTCTCTGAATACAAGAGAAACTATCTGCTACTAATGATTCACTAATCCCCTATTGAAATTCTAATTTAATTAATATAATAATAATAGTTTGTATTCACATGCTCTTTGCTATAGGTGATCAGAAACCACAAAGTAGTTTTAGTTAAATTTGACAAGCAATATGCTTATGGGGAGAAAGAAGATGAATTCAAGAAATTTGCTGAGCAAGCGGCAACCCAATCTGATCTGTTGGTAGCGGAAGTCGGTGTTTCAGGTAGAAAATATTCCTTAGGACACAGAAATCTGCCCATACACCCTGTTAACCCTTTAAGTGGAAATGCGCTCTACTTTATTATTTTACTCTGTCTAATGCCAGACAATTTTACTCATCAGGAGGAAAGTGTTGCCACTCAATGGGTTAAATATCACTTTAACATCCCTCATCATGGTGGTTAATTATACTTACATCTTTGTCACATTAACTAGAATATGGTGAAAAAGAAAATGACGACTTGCGCGAGAGATTTGGAGTTAGCAAAGATGATTATCCTGTGTTTAAGTTGTTTAAACAAGGTCAAAAAGAAGCAATTGATTACACTCAGAGTGTTACGAGCGAAGATTTGGCAAGATTTGTTCGTTTGGAGAGTGGCCTGTGGTTAGGTAAGGTGTTGTCATTGTTTCTTGTGCACTCCAGAAATTCAGGAACTGTCCATTAAATGTGATTTAATTTCTTAACTTTTAGGCAAGCCAAACACTTTGGAAAGCTTCGACAAACTTGTTGTGGAGTTCTTGAAAGCCGACCAGGACAAGTACGATGATTTTATCGCCAAGGCTGAAGAAGCTATGAACGTGGTCGAAGAGAAAGACCAACTGACTGCGAAAATGTATGTCAGCACGATGAAGAAGATCAAAGAAAAAGGAGTGGAATTTGTGAGCAGCGAAACGGCAAGGGTTAACAAGCTCCTGAATGAGAAAGTGAGCGATGCTAAGAAGGCAATGTTTAAAAGTCGTCTCGATATTTTGGCATCGTTCACGGATTATCTGAAGAAAGACAAAGATGAACTGTAGCGTGCATCTATTGCGGCATCATAATTAGGAAAATTTGCTAAAAATTGCTATAGATTATAATTAAATGCTTTTAGTCAAATAGAAGAACACATATGCACCATTCATTCATACTGCTATAAGCTTGCACTAAATTTATGAAAATTGTTTTTATAACCCATCTTTACCTAACAACCAAGACATTTATTTGTATTTTTTTGTATTTGTGGAAAACCCATAAACACTCTAATAAAATATTAGAACTTTTAATAAAACATTAGAACATTTTGTAACTCATACAACCAGATCATTTATACATGCTTTGCTTTATGTAAAATTTTGTAGAGGCTTTCAAATAAAGTTTAATTTAAACCAATTTTAAATTAGAATTTAATAAAATTCTGTTACAGCAGGGTATATAAATTAAATTAAATCATTTCATCACAACTTGTATTTTGTATAGCACCATTATATTTCAAAATTCACATGTACAATTTTATCATGTCACACCAACATGAATTCCACAACACAGAATTCCTTAAGTATTTAAACCCAATAATGTCAATTCAGGTTTATAAAACTGCTTGTTTTCATATAAACCAACATGCATATCAAAACTTGAATTAAATTGAGCAACTTTGTTGAAAATTCTAAAACTTGAAGAAACCTTTTCAGGAAAGTTAAAATATGAGTTCAGAGGTATATTTATTGTAGATATTTTCATGAAGAGAAATCCAAAATTTTAAAACAGTTATAGAATTAAAGTCTCATTGATCTGAAGGTGGGCTATCATCAGTCTTTTCAGGTGGATTATCTGAGGTTTCAGATTTGCTCTCTGTCACAGTGTCTGGTTCCTTTTCTGTTTCCTCGACTTTCTCTTGCGGTTCTTCGGCGTTTGTTTCGGTGCTCGTTCCTTCTCCTGAACTTTCCTTTGGTTCATCACCCTGTTCATTTGGTTTTTCACTATCGTCGTTTACTTTCAAACTCTCAAGTTCGTTAGCTAATTTCTCACTCTCCACATCGTTGGCAGGGTTTCCGACCTTCTCCTTGCATTTATCAAACACCTCCTTGAACTTTTTTGCATCTAAATATGAAATACAATGGGTCATTCCCAAAGATCCAAGGGGGGGGGATGTTTTTTCTGTAAGTGTATTAGGAGCCCTGGTTTTAACTTCCAATTTCCTCCTCAAGGAAGATATGGATGTTTTATGGGAATGACCCAATAAAACAGATTCAACATACTTTCAGCATTGGCAAATCTGATGGCCAGCGTTTCCTTTCTCGGTTCCTCGTCTGCATAATCGGCCGAGACATTCCACACCCACGCTCGATCACTGCCACAGTTTGGTTTTAGTTCCATATCTTTGGTTACTAAATGACAAGAAATGTTGTTATGACACTATTTTTGCACTGCTGAGGGCTGGAGGGGAAATGGGTCATTCCAGAAAACATCCATACCTCCCCCACGGAGGAGAAATTTCTTCCTTGGGGGGGGGGGGTGTGAATCTTTTCTGGAATGACCCAATAGTTGCCCATATATTTGTTGGGGGTAACCTTCACCTTCTGTGACCTCCTAATAGCAGCAAAAACCAGGCTCATCTCGGGGCATTAATTTGTGGCGGGGGTGTTACATAATTTTCAGGGGGGTGCACCCTTGTTTCATCACTCCAGATGCTTTCAAATGATTTCTATTCTGACCTTTTGAGAATAGTGTACACCTTTGAGATGTGATGGGCCTTGCTGGTTGTGTGTGTGGAGGGGAGAGGGGGGGCACATCTCCCGAAAATGCCTATGACAAATACGCTGTGATATGCCATGTGACCATATATATATATATATATATATGCTACATAATTTTTCTGCTAGAACTTACAGAAATGATTTGCACACACTTTCAAGGTCTTTTCACGTCGCATTACAAGCCTATACGAATGTTTTGCTCGATTCTTTAATATTTTAACATCCCCAATCCCTCGTTCTTTCCATTCCGGGCTAGTGTCATGCTGACCAATAATATACCGAAATAACTTTGCTCTCCTGAGAAAATAAACATACAAAAGATAAAGTTTCATCATTGAATGTTTAAATAAAAGTTTCAGCATTTCTTCCTTACAATTTAACCATCTCTTCTTCGTTTTCTTCAAAAGTCTTCACATCAACTTTCGCCAAAGTGACAACCGGTTCAAAGTGGATTTCAGGCGACGACGGTGTAGTATCTTCACAGCTATGTACCTTTAAACAACGAAAAAGATATCAACGTTTTTCTCATTTTGTTATTTTTGCAAAAAATCATAAAGTCGAAATAACATAGAAAACACAGACTAACTTGGTCTGCAGACATAATGAAGGATTACTCGAGATTGAAAAGGATTAAGTTTGCTTTCTTTTTGGGATAAATATTTTATTTCTCCGGCTTTCTTGAGAAATTTTTGTATTTCCCGAGCTTTGGCGCCACCAAATTTGAGATGTCCAGCGGTTGGGTCCTCGGTGCTTCATGTAGGAGTACATAAACCAACGTAAACGTGGTTCTTTCAGACGCCATCTTGAATTGGACAAGGAGTGGTGTTTTGTGGTGTTTAATTTTGTTTGTTTATTTCGTGTTGTTTTTGTTTTGAGTTGCCAGAAAACAAAATGGGAATTCTAGAAAGGATTGCCGAAATTGAAAATGAGGTGTGTGTTCATTTTGTACTGAGGAATCACTGTTTTATTATCGAACATTTTTAGGGTTTTTTTTATGAATTTGATATTTATAAAGTTGTTTTATACCTTAATGTTTTCAAAACTGAGTGATTATTGATAATGATTAGACATCCAAGGATATCCTAGATAGAGTAAAAGTTCTACGCTTCTAGTATAACTAACACAGTCTATAAATTAATATAGTTAAGCACTTTAGTTAATTATTAATTTACTAATTTTAATATTGATACAAAAGGACAGTAACTCCAAATAACATTCTGTAGCTTTATTGAATCTACGTTTCGACTATATTTTAGACAGATGATGATGACTAAAATATAGTCGAAACGTAGATTCAATAAAGCTACAAAATGTTATTTGGAGTTACTATCCTTTTGTATTTTATAAAAATACTCAGTGGTTCCCGTAGCTATTAATATTGATGGTAATTTATATTGTGGTATATTTATTAAAGGGTCCAAGCCACTTTATCTCTGATCATTACGTAGTGGTGTTTCCTAAATCTAATGCAATGAATCTCTCTTTGAAAGTGATAAAAAAATAAACTGATACTTTGTCACTTTTTATCTTATGCTCCCTTTAAATGCATGTCATATTTAGATGGCCAAAACACAGAAAAACAAAAACACAGCAAACCATCTGGGTTTACTCAAAGCTCGGTTGGCAAAATTACGCCGAGAACTGATCACACCGAAAGGATCGGGTGGAGGACCTGCCGCAGAAGGTATCGAAGTTTATAAACGTTGGTTTGTTGATTAGTTCATTAGAATTGAAAAAGATATTTATACTTGATTTTAAATGCAATTTATAGGTTTTGATGTTGCCAAAACTGGCGATGCAAGGGTCGGTTTTGTAGGCTTTCCATCAGTTGGTAAATCAACTTTGCTTACGAATCTTGCTGGAGTATATTCTGAAGTGGCTGCTTACGAGTTTACTACTTTGACAACTGTACCAGGTGTGCTATGGAAGCTGCTTATTTTACCTGCTGTGCATTGGAGTGTACTCGCCATGAAGTCTCGGTCCATACACACTTATTTGCTCCCGCCATCTGAAGACTCTCTCCAACTCAATGAAAAATCTACGCACACCCATGAGACCATGTGAAGGCATTATGACCCCCTACTGAATGAAGCCTTTGTCACGATTCCCTTAATGCTCTCTCCCTCCCCCCACTTTAGACACTGCCCACAACAACCCAAAATTACCCTGCCCTTTGTCCACACACCCTCTTGTCCACACACTGAAACCCACATATACTGTACCCCCTTTGTAACACCCAATGCCTCCAGTTACCTCCTGAACCCTCTCAATTCCCCTAAGTTAGACCTCTTCACACTTTCACAGTTACAGCCCCTATTAACCTTTCCTGAGTTACATTGCAAACATCAGGGCAAAAAAGTCAATAAAGGCTTACACTATCAAAGTTTCTGTGATCACAGTAGGAATTTTGCATTAGGTAAGTTTTTGAAGGATTTGTGAGAAATGTTTGAGGGACTGTCTCTGTGTTTAAAGAATTTACCCATGCAAAATTCCTACTGGTGATCACAGAAACTTTGATAGTATAAACCACTGTAACTAAACCAAACTAAAGTCTCACTTGACCAAAGCTTAATGTTAATTGTCCAGGAGTGATCCGTTACAAAGGAGCCAAGATCCAGCTGCTTGATCTACCTGGAATTATTGAAGGAGCTAAAGACGGCAAAGGAAGAGGGCGACAAGTTATCGCTGGTATTTAATTAAAAGAAAGTTAGAGAATGATAGTTCATAAAACACTTTGCTAAAAGAAGAAAAAATACTCTCAACTGTCTAGTGAAGTTTCTCAGATTTTTTACTTAATTTATTAGTTGCGCGGACGTGCAGTCTTATTTTCATTGTTCTTGACGTCCTTAAACCACTTGGTCACAAGAAACTGATTGAATATGAGATGGAAGGATTTGGAATAAGGTATTTATGTTAGACTGAGGCTCTTGATGACATGACCTACCTTGGTTTTCATTTTATCATCTGCTACCTTTTCGTTCTGTTGTTAATTTTCCCCCATTGTTTTTAACTCATTCTTAGCAGTCCTACAGTGAAACTTTGTAATATGTACTGTATACCCTTCAAAAATTTTTTTTCTGATCTGCCAAATAGATTGAACAAAACGCCACCAAATATCGCTTTCAGAAAGAAAGAAAAAGGCGGTATTAACTTTCAAACTACAGTAAGTTCTTCGCAACTGCGCAACTAATAGTATTTGTTGATTAAGATTTATTAAGGCTAGATAACTTTCCCATAGCGGCATGAAAAAGCACCTATCTGTTACGGAATGTACAACTTTCAGAAGCTGAGCGAAACAACATCTCTCTGTTGCAATAATTCCTCTGAAAATAGCGTTCCTAAAAGGTACGGATAGATGTTTTTTCACGTCGCTACGGAAACCTATCTGGTTCAGTGGAAACTTTGCCTAAGATAAGTAGATAACGTGATACGAGCAATAAAACATACAACACTGTCACACGTTAGTGAGAATTGTCTGCGTGTAATCGTGTATAGCCGTGTGAGATGCTGCATGCGTTGAATCCATTTTAATTTGTCGTGTTGTTTAGTGTGTTCAATCCGAGCTGGACATTGAAACAGTGAGGACAGTCTTGAGCGAATACAGAATTGCTAACGCTGACATCACTGTGAGAGAGGATGCCACAGTCGACGACCTCATTGATGCTGTTGAAGGGAATAGGTAAAGTTTGAAACTGTCTGTTCTCACACCCGGAAAAACTGTTTAACATGTTCCTCGGATCACATTTTACAAAATTTTCTTTCTGCGGAAAATTCGCCTGTTTGGCAATGGATCTTAACCCTTGGGGTTTAAAACGCCACAGAACTTATATTAAATGTGTTCAATGTTTTTAATTTTTTAGAGTGTATATACCGTGTATATATTTGTTGAACAAAATTGATCAAATTTCTATCGAGGTTAGCACATCTTTAGATTTTACTAAAACTGCATGGTTGCGTTCCAATGAAATGAAACATTTTTCTGTTATAACTTAGGAGCTGGATATCATCTATAAAATACCGCACTGTGTGCCTATATCCGCGCATCATAAGTGGAACTTTGACGATCTTCTGGAAAAGCTTTGGGATTACCTTAACCTGACACGAGTGTAAGTACAAAGATACAGCATGGATGGGTTTCACAAAACACTATGTTGTGCTGCAGATGGTAGTCAAGCCTATAGTATATTCAAGATTTTGTTGGCATCACACTCGATTGAATGATAGTTGCAGGGGCTTGTAGATGAAATTATCGAGTGGAAATTTATAATTATAGATTTTTTAAGGGCGCGAATTATCGCACCCTAAGTCATTTATATTCTTGTATTTGATAGTAAATATTAAATACTGTACTGTTTATTGCTCTCTTGGCCCAGTGGCCTCGTTTTCATGTAGTTTTGTGCACAGTAGGGTTAAGGATAGGCTTGTAATTGGGATCAAGATCAAAGAGAAACAATAAGAGTGGAGGTTCAATGTGAGCTTCTCTTGAGTGTCAATACTGTTTTTGAATAGCTGGAGGGTTAGTGTCGTAACTTACTATGTGACTACTCACCTTCCAGCTATTCAAAAACAGCATTGACACTCAAGAGAAGCTCAGATTGAACCTCCACTCATTGAGTGTGAGTGAGCTTTTAGAATACGGGCGTATAACAAGGCAAACATGGAAACGAGGCGATTGGAGCAAAAATGCAATAAAATCTCTAATAAGAGACGTAGTTTTATTTTCTTCTTCCATTATAGGTAGCTAATTTGTTCTTCCGTTGAAATACCATGTTTTTTTTTCAGATATACGAAACCAAAAGGTCAACTACCAGATTATAATTCACCAGTCATTCTTCGTGGTACGATGACCACAGTTGAAGATTTTTGTAATCGACTACATAGATCCATCATCAAGGAATTTAAACAGTAAGCCACAGTCATTCTTGTTTTTCTATCAAATTCCTTTTTGGTGCAAAATTAAATACGATATTAACTCACTGAGCGCTAGTCCTCTCCCCTCGAGTCTTGACAAGCAAAATCGTCAAAACCGTTTGGTCAAGTTTTTTTTTCAATATTTATTCAGTGGTTTAGTTTGGGGCTCATCAGTGAAACATAATCCACAGAAAGTGGGAAAGGAACATCAACTCAATGACGAAGATGTTGTACAGATTGTTAAAAGGTAAGAATGTGTATTTGAATTATTAAACCATAAACTAAACTAACTTTATTTATACTGCATGGATAGCTCTATCAGTTCCCTAGAGGTCCAGTAAGGACCATCTCTTATTGATCCAGTGTTTCTATAGGAGGAAACCTAAACTAAACTAACTTTATTTATACTAGATAGCTCTATCAGTTCTAAACTGTTCTCCCTAGAGGTCCAGTAAGGATCGTCTCTTATTGATGAAGTGTTACTAAAGGAGGAAACCTAAACTAAATTAACTTTATTTCTGCTGGATAGCTCTATCAGTTCTAACAATTAAATTTCGCTATTTTAAAGGGTCTGAAATATTGTTGCAAGTAATCATAATGGAAATGAGTGGAGAGATATCAGGCGTCAAAATGATAGGAATTCAGCAACAAACTATATTACTGTAAAACAGTGGTGAACTATGGTATTGTAGTATTACATACTCTCGATTGGAAACATACATTCTATAACGGCGGGAAAACAAAGTGAGAGAAGAATAACAACACTTTTGAATATTTTATTTTTGTTTGTGTTGTCAAAGTATTCACAACTTGCCACGCAAAATAAAAATGGTATTTACTCTAAATAGTTCAATGGTCATTTATACATTTATAGTTAATTACGAATATATATATACTGTAAACATTCATTACGATCCACGTTCACTCAAGCAATCTTTGCAAACGCAACTTATTGAATCCATTTCAGTGCTTGTCCAATGTTAGTAGATTATAAAATCTCATCTTTCGACATCGCAAACTGACAACATCTGCTATTTCCCATGAAGATAACATTGACTGTCGATGCAATGGAAGTGTTGATAAAATATTGCATCGATTCATTTCCTCAAATTAATCAATTCATACGAATTCAAATTTATTTTTACTTCCTGTGCGTTTCCTATTGGTCAATCGGTTCTGAAACGAAATCTAATTGGCTTATCTAGAAGTAACAGGAAGTTGATCAATTTTCTATCAAATGAATTGATCAAGTTGAGGAAAGGAATTGGTGCAATATTTTATCAACACTTCCATTGCATCGACAGTAAGGCCGATTTACGTTCACAACTTTTGTTGCCTAAATGCCGATTTACATAATTTTCACCTACGACAACGTGTTTGCTTGATTTACACAAAGTACAACTCAAGTTGTAAGCAGGTTGCATGCGACAGTTTTAGCCAAAAGTTGTGTAGTGTAAATCTGCCTTCAGTTCTTGGCTCTAAGACATCCACTGTTCTTCATACTCCCACATCGAAGGATCATCAGCTGTTAAATAATCTTCAGCATCATATTCAACATCACCCTGAAACTGAAATGGTCCTTCCTCAGAGTCGCTGTCACTGTACTCCGGCAGGATACGACCCATGTCATGTAAGGGTCAAAGTCCCCACGCAAGTGATGATCTGAAAGGTCCTGTGTTGTCCCGTCCCAGCTTGGATGACGTTCTTGTGTTTGTAATGCTCTCACCTGCTCTCATAAAGCAGAAATTAGAAATTCATCCTGGTCTGAACGTGAAAAAGATCAAGTTTGCTTTGGTTATCTTGTCATGATTACAAACTTATATCCAGGGGCCGGTTGTATAAAAAAGTGATTAAAGTTAATCATAGTTAAGTGGAAATGTCATCCAATAAGAAGCGCCTATTTGAGAGTTAATCAGTATTTAACTACAAAATAGTGATTAAAAAAGCGATTAAGAGTTTTATACAACCGGCCCCAGATGATTTTGGTACGCGGAAAAGTACTGGCACTAGTTGTCAAATAGAAATCCATTTTATGATTGAAACAACTGAATATCTCCTGTAATATAGTTTATTTCTATTCCATATTTTTGTCAGAGCTATATGTTCTCGTAACCAAACATAATTTCAACTAGTTTCATAAAGAATAACGAAAGATATAATTGACTGAATACATCAAAATGGATTTCTATTCGGACAACCCTTTCTGAGCGCTGATTGGCTAAAATACGAACACGAGATCACCTGAATAGTTAATATGAGGAAAGCTTCGGATTAACAAGGATCCTGAAAAATACAAGGAGACGTTCTCCTTGTCTTGGCACTATCTACACTTGGCACAGATAGTTCAAGATTATGGTTCATATTACCTTGTCAAGATCGCTGATGATCAATTTCTGTAGCTGAAAACATGCTGTAAGACATTGAATACCATGGTCGCTCACATTATGACAAGCTTCTAGGTTTAACAGCCTTGTAGCAATACAATGAGACTATAAATCAGCTGGATGGAGTGAAGTTCTGCGATACACAAATCACTGTTATCGTTATATACCTCCGCTTAGAGGGTGGGAAGGGGGGGG